TTTTTTTTTTTTTTAATTGTAGTTGTATGAATTTCCTTAAGAAATAATATTTAATAGTTTCCCCTTTTTCGCCTTTAAGAGTTGATCTTGAGCTTCGAAGCGAATTTTTGTGTTGTCTTGTTTAATTGATATTTTGTCTTAAAAGATACAAGTATGACTAGTGATTTTATATCCTATATTTGTTTATTGTTCATTTTCAATATGACAAGTAGTTTCACACTTTATTTTATAATTTTCAATATAAAGAATTGGACCAAATTGAATCCGAATCGTTCGGTCGATTTTATGAATCCGAATTGTTTGGTCGATTTTATGATTGGATATGGAACTAATGATTTTTTTCTAAGATTTTTATTGATATTCAATTTGATTTGATTCCCTTCAAAATGTGACTAAACTAGATCACACTCCCTTCTAAATAAAATTGTATATTCCTTTTTCTCAATGTGCTCCTTCGACGGTCAATGTAGAGTAGACCTTCATTTTTCCAGCTTGTCCCTATGCGAGGCATTTTCTTTGAGTCCACCTTTTAGAGTATTGTTTTAAGAGGTTGAGGATATGATTGCATAGTGCCTATTTGGCCCCATTTAAAAATTTAAGTTGTATGCTACAGTATCATTTTTCATCATGCATTCACACAATAAAATATTTTACATACAAACCAATAAAATTTCTTTATTTTTTAATTATACGTTCTTCAAAAAATACTATTCGAAATTCTTTAATTTTCAAATAATGGATAACAAATAGAGGCTTAATGGAAAGTTGGGTTGGTTGATGAAATTTAGCCTACATTTAGCCCTCGTTCTTTCAAATTTTAATGTTTGGAATAATATTTTTGTTGAAGAATGTATGATTAAAAAAAGAAAAATTTTCGATGTACGTGTAATATTATTTTATGAAGGATTATATGATTGAAAGTAAAAATGAAAAGAAAAATAGAGACCGTCCACTATTACTTTGATTCTACTCTTATCCTAGACCCATCCTACCCAGCGGGTTCAAATCCTACAAACGAGTATCCGATCCGACTAGAATTCAAATTTTTGAAATAGTCAAAATCATAGCGGCAACCGTCAAAACCAGCAGTAAAATATGAACATTTTCTAATTTTAAAAAAATAAAAATAAATAATTAAAAATAAATAAATTAACCGTTCAAAAATTCAGCCTCTATAAATTCCCCATTTTCACAGACCCTAACCTGCTCATCCTCAGATCAGATCTGAAAAAAAACCAGAGCAGCGTCTTTGTATACGCCTCTGGTAATCCCTTTCTTTTCATTTCAATCTCACGCGTTTTTCTTGTGATTTCATTTCAAAATGAGAGAGTGCATTTCGATCCATATTGGTCAGGCCGGTATCCAAGTCGGCAATGCCTGTTGGGAGCTTTACTGCCTCGAACATGGAATTCAGGTCTGTTTTATTGAACATTTTGCAGAAAGTTCACTTTGGATGTCTCGTTTTTAATTGTTATATGTTTTTTGTTTTATATTTTTCGAAGGTTTATATGAAGTTTTATTGTTACGAAACTTACTTCCTTGAAATTTGCATTTAGATCTGTTATATCGAACATTTTCCCGAATTTTCCATTTAATATATTCAATTATTTCAATGGTTATTTGAGAATTCCGATTGGTTATGGTTGGGGATCTTTACTGCCTAACTCAGATCTGTTTCTTTAAACCATTTCCAGAAATTTCCTGTCAATTTTTGATTACTATGGTCTTTTTTATACAATTTTTGGTAGTGTATTTGAAGAAATGTTGATTGTTTCAATTTTTCATAGCCTGATGGGCAAATGCCGGGAGACAAAACCGTAGGAGGTGGAGATGATGCCTTCAACACCTTCTTCAGTGAAACTGGTGCTGGAAAACACGTCCCGAGGGCTGTTTTTGTAGATCTGGAGCCTACTGTGATCGATGAGGTTCGCACTGGAGCTTATCGCCAACTCTTCCACCCGGAACAGCTCATCAGCGGGAAGGAGGATGCTGCCAATAACTTTGCTAGAGGACACTACACCATTGGCAAGGAAATCGTGGATCTGTGTCTTGACAGGATCCGGAAGCTTGCTGATAATTGCACTGGGCTGCAAGGGTTCTTGGTGTTCCATGCTGTTGGTGGTGGTACCGGATCTGGGCTTGGATCACTGCTGCTTGAAAGGCTTTCGGTTGACTATGGTAAAAAATCAAAGTTGGGTTTCACAATTTACCCTTCCCCTCAGGTTTCAACTGCTGTTGTTGAGCCTTATAACTCTGTGCTTTCAACTCATTCTCTTTTGGAGCACACTGATGTTGCTGTGCTTCTTGATAATGAGGCTATTTATGATATCTGCCGCAAATCACTTGACATTGAAAGGCCAACTTATACTAACCTCAACAGGCTCATTTCTCAGGTATACATTCGTTGAAACATTAATATTGTTGATTAATGTTTAGATCTTTGTCCCACGACTTTTGATCAATTAGTGTATTGATTTTTTTTTTTTATGTTACCTTGACACGTGCAGGTGATTTCTTCATTGACAGCATCTCTGCGATTTGATGGAGCTTTGAATGTTGATGTGAATGAGTTCCAGACAAACTTGGTTCCCTATCCTAGGATCCACTTCATGCTTTCATCATATGCGCCAGTTATCTCCGCTGAAAAGGCCTACCATGAGCAGCTATCTGTTGCTGAAATCACCAACACTGCTTTCGAGCCATCGTCTATGATGGTAAAATGTGATCCACGCCATGGAAAATACATGGCTTGTTGTTTGATGTACCGTGGTGATGTTGTCCCAAAGGATGTTAATGCAGCTGTGGCCACTATCTTTTAAAAAAAAAAAAAAAAAATTTAATATGTATTATCATATTTGATCCTTCTATTCATTTTCTTTTATTAGTCGTTTCATATCATTAAAGTATAATCGATGAATTCATGTTATATTCTTATCTTTATGGAGGGACGAATAATGTGTCACAATTGCAAATGTTGTGCCAGTTACTATCAACTAATAAGTTTAAATGTTTCTCTAATGTTGTATTATAGGAATTAGAGTTATAAAACTTTGATTTATAACATTTTTAATGATATTATTTATATTTTATCATGAAAATTTTAGACTAGATATGCTATTTTCTTCTTTGTTAAATTGTGGTTTTAAATTGAACCAAATTGAAAAAAAGTTGTTTGGATTGGTTTGATTTAAAAATTGAAATTGTTTGATTTGATTTGAAAAAATTTCAAATCGCTTTAAGTGATTTGATTTGAAAACTTGTCCCAAACCATTCAAATCGAACCATGTTCAGGGACTTGCATATTTAGAAATAAAAAATCATTTAAAAATAATTTGCAATTAGCCTTGTTTGATATAGATTCTTTAAAACTCATATTTTTTTTAAAAAAAATTCATTTTTAACTATAAATTCTTCAATTAATTATTATTATTATTATTATTATTATATATATATATATTTTTTGGCATGAGCACTTGAACATTTTCTGTTTTTTAACCATGCATTCTTAAAAATATCACTTTTCACAAAAAATTATTTTCAAAAAATCTACTCCCATGTTTAGTATTGTTTGAAAAGTTGGAAAAAGTCAAAGTTAACAGCTAATTTTAACAATATATTTCATAAGACCTATAATATTTATCAATTTTTCAATTACTTATGATATTAACTACTATCAAAATCTACTAAAAAAAACTTATTTTTAACTACAACAAACATATTACGCTCGTTAAACATTAACAAATTCCGTAAAGCATGGCACTTGTATATCTAGCTCTTATTTGAACCCCATTATTTGGTAAAAAATGCATTTTAGAATAATAGATTGATGGGAAATATATGGTTAAAAAATAAGAAAAATTTTGAATTTTTGTGTGTAATATTATTTTATTGAATAATGTACGGTTAAAAAGAAGAGAGAGAGAGAGAGAATATAATTTGAAAATAATGGGGAATCAAACAAGGGCCTAACCTATTTGTTGTACTTTGTTTCCAATCTATTTGAAATTGTCACACTAATGTCATAACTATCTCAAACGTTAAATAACCAAGTGACATGTTTATTTAAATGTTAGATAATCAAGTGATATTTGTGACGTAGCTGATGAGTTCCATAGACACTTAATATCGATCATTCGAATTTTATAAAAAAGTTGAAGTCAATATTGGTATTATTTTGCGAGAAAGAAAATCTTTTTATATAATTATTATTTTAGTGTGACATCATGTAAGTGTCACATTGCCATGTGTGATAGGGCTAGACTTAAAAAACAATAAAATACTATCAACCAAATAAATTAGGGTGGGCATTTTTTTCTCAGAAATCGATCAGTTTGGCTTCGATTTGTCTACTAAATAGGTCAATTTTGGGATCACATATCGAGAAATGATAGATTTTGTTTCAATTCTTAGTACCACATTAAGAACCAATAGTGAATTTGGTTATCCCAATTTCCTTTTTTTTTTTTTTAATTGTAGTTGTATGAATTTCCTTAAGAAATAATATTTAATAGTTTCCCCTTTTTCGCCTTTAAGAGTTGATCTTGAGCTTCGAAGCGAATTTTTGTGTTGTCTTGTTTAATTGATATTTTGTCTTAAAAGATACAAGTATGACTAGTGATTTTATATCCTATATTTGTTTATTGTTCATTTTCAATATGACAAGTAGTTTCACACTTTATTTTATAATTTTCAATATAAAGAATTGGACCAAATTGAATCCGAATCGTTCGGTCGATTTTATGAATCCGAATTGTTTGGTCGATTTTATGATTGGATATGGAACTAATGATTTTTTTCTAAGATTTTTATTGATATTCAATTTGATTTGATTCCCTTCAAAATGTGACTAAACTAGATCACACTCCCTTCTAAATAAAATTGTATATTCCTTTTTCTCAATGTGCTCCTTCGACGGTCAATGTAGAGTAGACCTTCATTTTTCCAGCTTGTCCCTATGCGAGGCATTTTCTTTGAGTCCACCTTTTAGAGTATTGTTTTAAGAGGTTGAGGATATGATTGCATAGTGCCTATTTGGCCCCATTTAAAAATTTAAGTTGTATGCTACAGTATCATTTTTCATCATGCATTCACACAATAAAATATTTTACATACAAACCAATAAAATTTCTTTATTTTTTAATTATACGTTCTTCAAAAAATACTATTCGAAATTCTTTAATTTTCAAATAATGGATAACAAATAGAGGCTTAATGGAAAGTTGGGTTGGTTGATGAAATTTAGCCTACATTTAGCCCTCGTTCTTTCAAATTTTAATGTTTGGAATAATATTTTTGTTGAAGAATGTATGATTAAAAAAAGAAAAATTTTCGATGTACGTGTAATATTATTTTATGAAGGATTATATGATTGAAAGTAAAAATGAAAAGAAAAATAGAGACCGTCCACTATTACTTTGATTCTACTCTTATCCTAGACCCATCCTACCCAGCGGGTTCAAATCCTACAAACGAGTATCCGATCCGACTAGAATTCAAATTTTTGAAATAGTCAAAATCATAGCGGCAACCGTCAAAACCAGCAGTAAAATATGAACATTTTCTAATTTTAAAAAAATAAAAAAAAATAATTAAAAATAAATAAATTAACCGTTCAAAAATTCAGCCTCTATAAATTCCCCATTTTCACAGACCCTAACCTGCTCATCCTCAGATCAGATCTGAAAAAAAACCAGAGCAGCGTCTTTGTATACGCCTCTGGTAATCCCTTTCTTTCCATTTCAATCTCACGCATTTTTCTTGTGATTTCATTTCAAAATGAGAGAGTGCATTTCGATCCATATTGGTCAGGCCGGTATCCAAGTCGGCAATGCCTGTTGGGAGCTTTACTGCCTCGAACATGGAATTCAGGTCTGTTTTATTGAACATTTTGCAGAAAGTTCACTTTGGATGTCTCGTTTTTAATTGTTATATGTTTTTTGTTTTATATTTTTCGAAGGTTTATGTGAAGTTTTATTGTTACGAAATTTACTGCCTGGCATTTAGATCTGTTACGTCCAACATTTTCCCGAATTTTCCATTTAATTTCATATATTCAATTATTTCAATGGTTATTTGAGAATTCCGATTGGTTATGGTTGGGGATCTTTACTGCCTAACTCAGATCTGTTTCTTTAAA